TTATTCCTTGATTCTCTGTGTTCTCTTTACTTGGGGTGGGCAGAGGGGATGAGGGTGTCTGGTTTAAATTTATGTTGCATTTTAACGTGCCAAAATTAACATGCATAATTTGTTAAAGCCAAAAGGAAAAACAATAGTAGGATTAATTACAATACTTGGAAACTATTGTCTTAGAATTTTAAATATTTTTAAAGTATTCTAAGACATTTCTATAGCATCCACATTATGGTCAAAGTCAGCACTACTAATTACACTACATATGTTATATGTTATATAACTTTGGAATGAAGGATATTTAAGTCATTTCTACTGACGTAGGCTATCCTAAAAGGAGAGATAAGTCAATAGTATCTCAAACTGTCCCAATAAGGAATATCCTCATGACTGCCGGGCTTTTCATAAAAATTTTAAAAAATTAAAGGTACCATTGTAAAGCTCAAAGGTGTCCATATATTTTTTCTATGTGGTCACAGAAGCCAAAGAACAACTATAAGATACTTTTCAACATGGGTGTGAGAAAGAAAATGGCAGGCCTCTTCAATATTTCCTACGGGACTATTTCCTAATCGCATTTCTGGATGGATGTTCACGACCAGGGTAGCAGAATCCTGAAGTGCCAAGGCTTCTTCATTTTCCACCAGTTTCATTACTCAGATATCAAATGAAATATTGATGTAAGACTTCAAAGAAGTTTCTGGAGAGACTGCTCGGATAACAAGATATTACAGAACACAACTGAAGCTACGAAATTGTGTATTTGTGGAGGTGACATCAGTTTCTGGACTTACCAGACTGTTTGAGAAAAGGCAAGTTCAACGTGTACCACAGAGACACCTGTCACTGTCTTCTCAGATTAGATGGGAAAATGTTCAGAGGGATTGAAGCTATTGCTCAATTTGGTCAAAAAAAAAAAAGTCATATTGATTTCCAAGTACTTTAGCTTAATGAAAAGAAGATGGCATCAGAACCTCTATCCCTAACTCAAACATCCAAAGGGATGCTTCTCTTATTTCATTTTAAGCACACAAATGTAAATTTCTAGTTCTTAAATGCTTCATTCAATAAACAATTTCACTAGGGAGGAAATTAACATTAATGGGATACTTATTTTGTCAACCACTGTGCTAGATCTACTCCTGATCATATGTCATTCCTAGCACAATGTTGTGAGGTAGATACTGCTGTCTCCACTTGGCAGTTCAGAAAAGCAAGGGTGAGGGAGAATAAATAGCATGTTCCAAATCACAAACCTAGTGGGTGTGGGGCTGAGATCCAAATCCAGGTCAACCTGATGTCAGTGCCCATGCTCCAGTCATTGTAATTCCCATTAGCAAGTTTATCACAATCTACTCATTAGCATGTCCTCTACCTAAGTATAGAATCATTCCTCATTCCAATGCAGTTAAGACCACAGTACAGCTCTCCTCTGGATCATTTATAAATCAAGCCATGATCTCTAAAACGTAATAACATGGCTAAATTTTAAGACAAATTTGGTCCTGACCCAGACTATTAAAGGATCATACCATCCTTCAGAATAGGGAGAAAGGCCAATCTTAACCTCTTTTTCGAAAGACAAGGAAACTGAGCCGTAAAGAGAAGCAATGATTTCCCATTCATTCTCAGATGTGGACGTAGAATTAGGCCTCCTTTCCTTTGTGTGGCCTAAACTGACTCTTCCCAAACACTGCCTCTCATGGGTATAGAGAATTTAGAAACAAAGTTCCAGGAAACGAATCCTCAAAAAATAGAATCAACCTACCACCTGCCCCTGGCTGAGGACGAAGGCCCAAAAATGAAGATTATAAGGAGATGTTCATTTTAACACCTACCTTACCCCCATGGTTTCTTGCCTAACATTTTGCATTAATAGAGACATCAAGAGAAATGTTTGTCACTTCTATTCTTGCATAGGCTTTTTTTGGCTTCTGTGAAAATAGAAGCACCATGAATTACATGCTCAAACATGTCCACATTCTTGGCCAAGCAACAGAAAAATCTTAGGGGTCAAATTGGTGATAAAGTATCTACCAAATAGATACTTTATAGCTACATCTTATAAACTACAAAAGAATGTGTAATGGATATCAGAAAGCCAGAACAGGTTTTATGTGGTTGTTTTGTAACCTCATATGGCAACCTTGCAAACCAGAAACAAAAACATCTCCTCTCAAAGTAATTTAAGCAGTCCGTAGATTCCACAAAAGATGTAAGGGAAAGTAGGTGATCTAGATTCAGAATCAGCTATCTAGTCTGAATTAGCAAACTTATTTAGACCAAAATTTGACATCCCATTTCTCATCTCTAAAAAAGAGACATACTAGTTAGCTTACACAAGTGTTGCAAGGATCAAATGGGATCACTTGGGAGGAAACACCCCATGTCTAGTGGTACTCAGTGTGCATGCCTGGCATTTAAGCCTGAGGGTATGAGAGAATAGGGCTGGCAATAATCATTGGGCATCATTTATTTTTCATGAGACAAGTTTTTAAGGCTTTGATAGAGATAATCAAGAGCCAGTTCATCCTCAAGCAAATAGTGACAATCATAGGCACTTCGTATACTTGTATAACCGAACTATTCCTCTGTAGAGGATTATGATGGTCATTAAAATTCCAAGAGCCATTGCTGTGTTATGGAAGCATAGGAGACTGGCTGTGAAGACAGCCTGCTCCACGGAGTAGATTGTTCCCTTCGTACGTAAAGCATTTTCATTGCTTTAGATAGAGGCTTCCTGCTGCAGAATGGCTTAAAATTATATGCTCACTCCAAGCATGGAAACGAGAATCTGTTTTTAGATGCACTTTTCTGTGTTAGCTTTCCTCCCTCAATCCCCATGCCCTGGAGTGTAGCATAAAGGTAACAGGCAAAAGCCCTAGACAGAGGCAGCCTTAACCAAATGGCTTAACAACTGGCAAGTGTTTATAACAAACTCAATCATATCCTTCACCCAACAAGCACTTACTCGAATGCTTTTAGTTGTAATGCTGGGAATGTTTTCTCTATTCATGAAGAGGTAAAGCAATACTGTATTTTAAGAGGGGTGGGGGAGGATCAAAACCCACAAGCCAGAAAGCAGCCTCTAACGCCTAACTCATTAAGGATCAATGAAGATGAAATCGTCTCATTGGATTAAAATAATTAAATAGACTTAATTTCTAATATATGTCAAAACAGAATTAAAGCTATAAAACTCAAATGGATCTTGCAATGCCTTAACAGAAAAATCATCTGGAATAGCTGCAAGGGGTGTTATGAATCCTGTACAGAACGATCCATGAGCCAGGGAAGCCCATTCATGTTCCCAAAGGAAAAATATCCATAATTTGATGGGGGAACAAGACCCCAAATATGCTTCGACTGTTTTATTTTCAAAACATGTTTGCTCTTTATTTTCACCTAACTCCCATGATAATAAAATAGCTGTGAGGTGACAGTAAAATAAAGGAGAAAAAAACTGTGACTCAGGGAAAATGTAATCATTCTTTCACAATCCCAGCCACACTATGTGCAGCCCCCGGACAACCCTCCTGTGAAGCTAGAGCTGAGCACAGGATGTTGTGTGTCATGCACACACGCCAGGCAGGAAAGCCAGCCGAGAGCGCAGTTGTCCACGGTGAGAGGCAGAGATGTTTGGGGACATGATTAGATATCGGGAACCAGGAGTGCTGGGTGAAACCCCTGCATGAGAGCAGGAGAAAGAGGAGATAAGATGGCTGAGAGCTGCAGAGGAAATGTCAGAGCATAACAGAGCCAGCTGTCTTTGTCATATCAGTTATGGACATAACTGATTTGCTCTGCTGGGCGCACTTACTGCTGGGGGGCTGTGACAGTGCCCAGGCCCATGGCAGAGGCCAGAATGAGGACTGTTCTGAGAGGCCTTGTCACACCTGAGTTGTGCTGGGTTAACTGTGAGAGACACGCCAGCAGCTGAGCACTGGCTCTGTCCGCTAGACCTAGCAGCTTCCATGTTTCTAACGCAGTGCCCTGGGTCCCAAGATAAGCCGTGGAGCCAACAGAAAGGACACCATTTGGGTTGAACAAGGGCTCACTCTTGGTTCTTCCTGCATCTGATGAAGTTGTTCAGGACCAGGACTCGCAAACTCAAATGACCTCAGGATACCAGGCACACTCACAAGCGGGAAACACTCCTGGGTGTGAGATCGTTAGGAGCGTCAGGGCATGTCGGGAACTGGAGATTGCAGACCCCTCCTAAAGCCTATCACAGTCAATATTCGAAGAAAAAAGTGGTGACTGAGAAAATGTCTGCATACAGGATTCAAGAGCCCTAGTAAACTTGTCTAAATGTGACTGCAAAGTCAAGTATTCAGGTCAACGTCAGGCCGAAGGCCAGTGTCCAGGTATTTTAGGCAGAACCTGTTCCTAAAGCCATTTTTGCCTGGAATTATATCATCTAAAGAAAATTAAGACATCATAAATTAGCTCCTTTCAAATAATGCCAGCGTATCAAAATGGGATATCTCTGATAAGTCCTCCATAAACGATACTCATGAAACATTTTTTCATAGGTCAAGCCAGACAGAATTCAGAAAGTTTAACTTAAAATTATTCTCCTAAAAGGTGTCAGAGAACTGGGGGTGGGAGTGGCATTGAGAAAGGATTATACTGAAATCTTGCCATCATGGTAAGCCTCCCCTGCACAGTTTATCACTAAGTCACTAAGCCAAAACAGGACAAAACCATGATGGCCCAGCAACACCCACAGCAAAGGAGGGCAGGGCCAGCCCTGTTTGCAGGCTCCAGAACTCCTTAAAAGTAGGAGCTTGTTTACACTGTAAATTCTTGATATTCTGGTGCTGAAATCAGATAACCATACAGGGACATTACATGAAGATTTCATGACTTTGGAGTGCTAGAAATGTAAGCCTCAATCATTTGAAAAGCTCCCCACTCTGTCTCCAAGCCAGTCACTATATAAGCCACTCACTATATTTGGTGAACACGAAGGATAAAAGAAGAGACTCTAGAAAAATCCTTACCTGTAGCTGCTGGTCTAATTCAGGACAGACCAGAGGAGTGGGGTCTTCAGGAGGTGTATCATCTAAAACATGAAAAAAAAATGATTCTTCACTGAAGAGCTCTTTCTCTCATGAGAGGTGTCCTGCTCCTACCACTGTGGTACTTGTGCAGTTAAACCGTCAGTGTAAGTGGCTTCAGTTATTTTCATCACTTTAGGTGGGGACAGATAGAATGCAGAAGACAACTTTGCTGGTTTTCAGCACAGAAACACAGAGAGCATAGTTGGCCCAACCACACTTTTACCAACAAATAGCAGAATCCTCAAATGTTCCCTCTGGTAGCTTTCCAATTGAGAAGTACTGCTTGTCTTTCAATGCTCCCAGGTTAGCCAAAACCAAAAAATATGATAGGCAGGAAAGTGCTTTAACAAGGTGCTAATGAGGTAACCAGAACCACATCAATGGGACAGAAGAATGTGTTTGTGAGAAATAGAAGCATTAGTTCTGCTCTAAATGACTCCATGAGTGGCAAGTTTTGAGCCCAGACCACAAACCACCAGTATCAGGCAGTTAACCAGAGTATCCTTCTAGGTCACAGTATGTAACAGGCAGCAACCCAGGCAGGGCATTTCCTCCCCACGCTCCAGGCCATCAGCTCTTCTGAGGCCCAATCCACGGCCTTGATTTGGAAGCGCCTGAGCTGCAACTCTGTCCTCAGCTGGACAAAGGCAGTGTGACTGGCAATCGGCAGGTGCTGTTGGATCAAGATGCAGTTCCCAGAAGCATCAGAGGAAACCTGGGAGGAGACTGGACTAGGATAGCCAAACTACCCCCCCAAGTCTCTCCAAGAACACACTGTTGCCCCAGCCCTGGTGCTGCTTGCTAGGGGTACTCTGGCTGTGCAGGTCCATACCATTCATTTCTAATCTCTTCCTTGTCGACAACCGCTTTCCCAGGACATGCAACTATAAGGATAAGTCAAAATACAGACTAAAGCAAACAATTAAAACCCAAATCTATTGTAAATTATAATAAAGAAAGGCAAGATCATGATTTTTATGTTCTCACTACCATAACCAAATTTAGTTATAAAAACTGCTGATACTCATTTGAATTAGAGGAAGGTATATAGGCCATACAAGATAGAAGCACAAATTCTCTCCCTGTTCCCTGACAGCACAGTCCAGAATAACATGCAGCATACAAGGAGCTCCTGGCCCCTAAGAGATTACATTTCTTTGAAGGCACCAAAGATAATCACCAGGAAAATAATTCAAACAAGGACAGTGTTTGCCTCTGCCAAACACCTCAGTGTTTGCCTCTGCCAAACACCTCAAAGGTCACATCCGTTAATAGCCTCTGGTGCATTTCAGTCAAGAGTAATGTAACCATACTCCCACTTACAAGTGGCTTCACTCAATGACAATGCCCCACCAAATGTGAACCACCCTGTACCTGCGTCGGACCGTGGATGCTCCCAGGTTCGCTGGCACTATTTAGCTTCCGCAGAGCAAGTAAAAACAGGGAAATCTTCCCAAGACTCTTCCTGCAGGCACAGGACTGTGTCAAAGGGACACATGGAGACCCAGTCTCCAGGTCCTTTGAATGCTCTTTTCCTATGCACAGGTGACAACTTCCATCAATAGTTGGGTCTTTTTAAATCCTTGTCATTGCAAAGAATTGGACAAAAGACAGAAATGCTTACTTGCTGCTACTCAGCCTTTACAAGTAGCCCTCACTGTAAAACCTATAGTTTGTAAAACCGATTTGGTCTAAGGTGCATTTAAATTTACTTCAATAAAATAACAATAACCCAGATGTCATGATTATGTTAGCTCACTGAGTTCGAGGCCAAAACAATTTGTCATGGGTAAATGGGAACATATTATAGTTTGTCATTGCGACCCTAAAAACCATAGATGGGCAGGCACTCTTTAAAGGAGAAACAGGGCAGATAGTGCATTCTAAAATTCTAAAAGACAGCCAGGAATGGAATTCAAGGCTTCCTGGGACTTAATCTGACTTGCTCCCTGGGAAGTCACACTCCTTCCTGATGAGTTATAAAAAAAAGAGAGGGAGAAATTATTCATTTTATTGTTTATTATTATTATTCATTTGCTTTACTCTAGCAAAGTGAATAGCAAATACCTGGTATGACCCAGAAGTAATAAAGCCTATTATAGGCATCTACATCATTATTTATAGTCACATCATGTAGAGGCACATATATGTGACCATTGTGATAATTTTGCTGATGAGTAAAGGCTTTAGAGTGGATTCCTTGAATTGAAAAAAAGTTTAATTGATCAACATAGAAATGACCAAATAGTGGATGTTTTAGAATGACCAGCAAAATAAAAGTAAGACTCTGGTTAAAGCATGGCTCAGGTTGGATGAATCCAAGCAGGAAATGGCAGCGGAAACAAAGAAAAAAAACCAAAGACAGAAATAACAAGGCTCCCAAGTCTGAAAGCCAGCCCTGCGTCTCACTGCTCAAGGCCATCTGGTGTAGCTGGTATCCCTGCCAGCCAGAAATTTCAGGGCTTGCAAAGCTGCTTACAAAGCTGCCCCAAGCTGATGTGTGGTGTGTTTACTTTTAAACAGTGGCTGCCTTCTTTGACTGGTTTTTAAAAATAGGCAAATATTCTAAAAGCAGAATGATGAATCACAGGATTGGGCCAAAAGGAAAGAAGGAAAATGACTCAGACAGACTAGTAGCACAGCTGTTCCACAAACATTTGGCTGAGTCGTTGTAAAACATTTTGACAGTGATACTGGATCGGAGTTCCTGAGAGCAGTTAAGTTACTTTTGAAAATTCCAGAACAATGAAGTAGATTGTACAGTAACTATGCAAGAGACTACCCTGCCACCCCAGCCCTGGCAAATTTGGCTTTTTTTTAAAAAAAGGGAGAGCAGGTGCTAGATATGTTTATAATGTGATGAAATTATTAAAATGTATTTCTTTACCAAATATTTATTGAATGCCTATTATGTGCAAAGCAGAGACTAAGGCTCTATGCTAAATTTTATCGTATCTTTTTAATTTTATTATTTCTTAATGCATTAAGGAAATGATTCGTTGGCTTTTCAAAATGGCACTGTGGGCTTAATGGACCAAGTAAATATATCCTAAGGAATTTATTAAAAAATGAAATATAAAGGAAAAAATTAAAGAGGAGTGTTTTAATAAGCAGATGTTCACTGCCTGTTTTTGCAAATATGACATGACTACGTCAAGGGTACTTAAAATAGGACTTTCTTATTGGTACCCCAACCATTACAATGTGCCCCAATACATTTTATGGTGGGTTTGTCTCCATCCGTTGAGCCGCTGTTGGGCTGCTTTGCAGTTACGCTGTTCTCAAACTTCCCTAATTTGTCTTCTCTGTGGTTCTCCATGGGAAAATGGGACCCACTGGGTCTGTGACTCAAGTCCTCGTTGTTGTGTAGCAATGAGAGCTACGCAGTCAGAGTTCCCAGGGAATGCTGCAGCTGGAAGGGGCTAAGACACCAACAGGTCCAGAAATCTCCCAGAAGAGCAGAAGGCAAGGGCCCCAGGAAGGGAAAGGAGTCTCATAAGACTTCAGAGTGTCTCCCACGGAGTTTCACTGAACTACTCAGCTCTACTTCACCTCTGGGCCAGGGCTTTCCAGACTTCTGTATTTCATGAGCCAGTAAAATTTTCTCCAAAACACTGGGAATCATGCCTTGAAGTGCTCAGCTTTTTATTCAACAAGCAATGATTCAAAAACAACTACCATGCATCATTTGTCTCTCTTTACAAGAGACAGGATGTTTTAGCACGAAAGGCATAAGACAAACATAATTTTAGAATGGAAAAGTGTCCATATTATATATATTGGATAAATTTAGTTTTGTGGACAAAGCAAACACACACCAAAAATCCTCACTGTCATGTCCTTTTTTTCTCTTGCTTTGCATCAGAGAGGTGAAAATTTCACCAAAATCAGGCCAGGTGTGCAAACCCACACTCGAGAACCTCTGCTCCAGAGAGTATCTTGACTGAACTTTGAAGCCAGTTATCTCCCTGTCCCACAGCACTCTCTCCCTCCCTCAGTCCTTAGGAGAAAGAGTCTAGGTTTCCTTGCAGAGAAGACCTCAGGACAGAGAGAAACCGCACTCAGGAGACACCCCCAAGCCCCACCCTACTCCGCAGCCAGGAACTTGAGAGGCAGCGCTGCCTGGAATCTGTCAATCTGCCTTACTTTCCTGCCGCCAGAGCTGGCTTCGTGGCTATGTGTCTGTGGGCACATTGAGCCCTTCCCCAGGCGGGGCCCACATCTGGTTTAATGCTCTGAGCATGCTGTCTTGAAATTTTTCCCACTTTTTGAACGAGTAGCCCCACAGTTTTTCTCCTGTGCCTCCACAAATTATGTAGCTGGTGCTGCCTGCTATTCAATCTCTGAGAGCCGGTGTCCTGGAGATGCTCCCTCAGGGCACCAGGGACAAACTGACACTCAAGAGGCAAGTGAGTTCGGGCAGTGGCTACAGTGGCAAGGCTCGTGCAGAAACTTTCCTGGGAACTGTTTGCCTGCGAAGGCTCCTAACCACTAAGGACACAGTGAGTCAGTCCCACATTCCATTGGCCAGACCTGCCCTGGAATCTCAAGTCAGCCACTTTTTAACTGGTGAACAGGGACAGTCAACATAATCTCTTTGAGACTCAGTTCTCTCCTTTTCTAAATGGGCATGATATTCCCAGCCTCAGAAACACGTTATTAGTATAGGAACACATATATCAATCATTTAGCCTAAAGCCTGGCACCTAGGAAATAATTAGTAATAATAATGAGTGCTTAATATAATTGAGTGTCCTTTCCATTCCTTTTCACCGTAATCCTGACGAAAGGGGAAGGGAGGGCATATGTGAGTGTATGGACAATGGTGGGGAGTAAAGGTATTATTCTTCATCATCTGAGTAATACAAAGAGAGTAGGCGGGGTGAAGGCCACTGACTCTAATTACTTAGATACCCCTGTGCCAGCTAAGGGAGAGTCCCTGGCACAGCCACCACCTTGGCTCTTGTGCACTTACTCTCTGCATTTAAACCTGAATCCAGGA